ACTTGGAGCAGAATACAAGCATTTCTAAGAGGGCACTATGACAAAAGTTATAAAATATATCTAACTAAAGAAATGTATGTATGTATGTATGTATGTATGTATGTATGTATGTATGTATGTATGTATGTATGTATGTATGTATGTATGTATGTATGTATGTATGTATGTATGTATGTATGTATGTATGTATGTATGTATGCATGCAAAAGATGCAAGAGAGGGATAGTTGGTAGTTAAATTGCAGAAGCTATTGTTTCCTTTATCCACCAGGCATTGACATCTTGATAACCATATATATATATATATATATATATATATATATATATATCATACATACAAGCTAGACATCACAAATATAGAACCAGAAATATCAACAGAAAATAATATAGGGATCGTCGGATTATTTACGTGTGATTAGCGGCACTAAGCAGGAGGTGTTCTTACATTTACAGTCGAAACGAGCACATAACTGTGGTACTTAAATCCAAAGGTTGTCGGAATGGCAGCTTGGTGACAAGGAATCTCCAGGTCTTCTTCCTAGGATGATATATCTGCATGAACAATGCCCCCGTCCTCTTCTGCTGTCGTGACCGCCGAGTTTCAGTTGAATCAATTCCATTTACAATTGTCATTACATGCAACTCCCCATTCAGAACAATAAAACCGAATGAAGTCTTACGAGCAGTTCGCCTTGGTACACTGCACTCTTTCTGCCAAAGGTTTGAATTCATATTGTATCTGCAGATAGATAAAGCAAAGATGAGTGTGCCATCATACCTAAGACCTAGAATAAGAATTCGGAATAAACAGAAAGGCAAATAACTTCAAATTCTGGCTTTTCTTCAAACAAAATCCTAAACTGAAACTGGTAAAAATTGCAGAAAATGTAAATTGCATTTTTGTTGACAGAAGAGAGAATCATGCAGTTTAGTACAAGCATCCGAGTAAAAGGAACCAATAACAAAGAGTCCAATTAAGTAATCAGCCCAAATGCGTCAATAGTCCAGGAAATGCTGAAACGTAAGCTTATTCTCTTGCAGAACCGAGATTTAGCAAGCCATTATTGAGAAACACATGGATTAAATCTGTGAACAATGCAGGGTGCAGGAATTCTAGGTATCAAATGAAGAACCTGACAAGTTGGCAATAATTCTTTTTTTTTTTTTTTTTTACTTTTTTGCATGATACTATAACTAAATAATGGCAGTACCATCAAGTCATTAGAAGACTAGAAGAATTTCAAAACCCAGAAGCATACAGCTTACATTTTCTTCTCACAACACACACACTACAGTTATGCATCTTTTCTATCAAAATATTGTAAATTCTTGCCGAGTTAAAATCGAATATGACACTCCAAAATGTGTTACTAACCATTATCTGCCTCACTCTACAGATAGAAAAATACCAAATCTTTGAACTGGTTCAGATTTTAACTATCAATTAATACATATGAATTTACAACCTCAAGTGATTCAGTACATGAATCAAATTCAAAATTCAAGCGCAACTAACTTATCAAACAAGTACAATTTCTTGCAATTGATATTGCTGATACCTAAGGTAACATAATGTGCAATCTGTTTCAATATTTGAATTCAGTTGATAAAGATGCTTTTATGAATGGTACATTTAAAACGCATTAAACTTTGTTACTAGCAAAACTATCAACTCATTGAAGCAGATGGCAACCTTCTAACACTATCTCTAACATCCTTAGAGAAAAGCAAATTTCTCCAAAAAGACAATAAATTCAATGATGCCAACATAAATGTAGTTATTTAGCAAAAAGAGAAGCATAATTACATGAGGATATCATAATCATCGAGCATGAAAATAGTAGGAGGATTACCCCCTTCCTCATCCTCCACCACTACGATTTTCCCGAACCGAGGCGTCTCCCCTGCTCCCCACATATCCCCAAGTTCTCTCCACTTGCCACCCCCATTTTCCTTCAACTCCATCACCAAAGCATCCTTATAGTACTCGTCGACCGGGAACACACCCGAGACGGTTCTCGAATCTCCATACCCACCCATCACCCAAAACTCCCTCTCTACCCCATCTCTAACCGTAAACCCCACGCAACCAGCTCGAAACTGAGGCAACCCGTCCAACGCTTCCCATTGATCTTTCTCCACGTCGTACCTCTCCACAGAGCATATCCTACTCCCAGCAGCCCTAAACATGGTGTGCCTGGAACCACCCCCGGCGACGATGATTTGATCGGAGCTGGGGACCGCGGCACAAGCGAAGCTCCCGCGCGGGGAAATCATAGGTGTGAGGCGATCCCAGGAGGAAGTAACGAAGTTATAGCGGAAAGCCGAGGAAGAAGGGGAAGGACGGTCTAAGGGGAAAGTGCGGGTGTCGAAGAGGGAGCCGCCAAGAACGTAGATGGATGGGCCGAGAGAGATGGAAGAGAAATTGCAGAGGCCGTATACGTGAGGGTTGCAAGGCATGGGGGGTAAGGGACACCAGGCGAGGTGTTCGGGGTCGAATAGGAAAGGGGAAGAAATGTGGGGGTCTTCCGGGAATATGCAGAGGAGGTGGGAGCGGCGGTTGCGAAGGCGCAGCGAGAGGAGCGCCTTAGAGGAGAGGAAGATATACCAGGGCTTGCAGGTGGGCTTGAGGCGGCAGTGGTGGGAGTACGGGAGGAAGGAAAGGATAAGGGCGGCGACATCGTTTGGGAGGCCGGGGATTAGGGTTTGGGCATCGTCGATTTCGTGAAGATTCGTCGATGACGATAGAATTGACATTTCCTTCTCTCTCCCTCTCTCTCCTCTTCGATAGTTAGAGTTTCGCTTTGCTGAAACTGAAAATCCAATTCGATCCCTGAAATCAAAAGATTGCAAGTGATTTTCCAGAAATGCGGGAAAGTAAAAATCCTAAAACAGTTTATTGACACGTGTTGAAAGTTAGAACACGACACAAATTAAATGAATTAATGTTAAATGTTTTTTTTTTTACATAATATTACATGTTCAAGTTGTAAGTAATGAGTTTGGTTATACCATTACCATACAAACGAAAAGGTCGTGAATTCTAAAAACATAGTTCTTCTTATGAAATTTAATTTATTATTCTAATTGAAAATATTTTCAAATGTCTGTAATTATTTAAATTTAAATTAAATTTACAATATTTTTTAAAAAATATTATCAATAAAAAATATTATATATTCAGGTTAATTATGAAGAGAAATATATTTAAAAATCAAATATAAATATAAAATTATGCCTTAATTTTTTTTATTGGACTTGTGTTAGTTTTAATTATCTAATGTTTGTGGATGTGGGTTGGGGTAAGGTTACATTTTGGGTTTCGATGTTGATTTGAATAGTGCAAACGACATTTATTTGGATCTGGGCTTTAAATAGTGAAATTGTACTTTTGATGATATTTTTGGATTTAGGATTGATGATATATATTTTTAAAATATATTATAATTACAATTTAATAAAATATATTTTTAGATAATTTTATGGGTTTGGTTTTTTATGAGACCAAACCTTACATAATAATTTATAGATAAAGTCTTAAAGTTTTGATAGCATCTTAATTTTTCACTAAGATTTTTAATTTCGTTATAACTAACTTAACCGCTACTATTATTTTTAATCTCACTGTTAATCCAAAATAAGCATTGGTCATAAAAAAAATACAATTTAGTGGAAACTTGACAGCGTTAGCTGCCGTTAGTGTGTTTCCCTTGTCTGTGCCGAACAAAAGCACCTGCCCAGTTAAACACAACTAACCTACTCTTCAATATAAAAATGTCGGCCTGCAAATATCCACAGCATATTATAAAATGCATACGTACGCCACACATTTTGACATAATACATGATCAACAACAGCTAGATCAGTTCAGTTGTTATCACAAGTTAATAAATTTTCATTTAAGCATAATTACAAGTGTTTCCATTTATCTTACAACGAGTTTTTATATTTTCTTTAAAGCAGTTATGATAAGTAATACAGAATACAAAATCAAGTATCTAAAACAAATTTACAGACAAAGTATTAATTAAGACTGTTGAAACCATCTCGTGGTAGTTTGAATGTGTTCAATCTGTGAAGAATTCATCACGTAATTGAAATAATATTATTTATTAACGAGTTAAACCTAATAGAGGATGATGGTAAATGATCATGAAGCTGATTGTGACACAAAGATGATGCGTTTTTCCATTGATTGTGGTGGGAAAAAATGGTTTACTTTGGGACAAGTGCAAAGTACAAACACAGACTATTTCCCCTCATTATTTATATATTCTGCAATCTGCGGGAAGGTTCATTTACAGTTTCCCACAAGATAAATACTTTCTCATTGCATTGAAAGTATGTGTATATAAATAAATATATATATACATAGGATACATTCTCAATGAAAAGTGTATTTTAAACTTTGAAAGTTGAAGGCAATTTATTTATTTTTCCATAAAAATCTCTTTGTTTTCTATCTTCAGTTTCAATCATTTAACTATCTAAATATATAAATATATAATTATGATTCGAGTTAATTTAATTTGTTGAATATTCATGAATATCCTAACCAATAGAATTTGAGTCTCACCAGCAAATTTGCTGAACAATATATATATATATATATATATATATGTAAGTATCACTCTCACTCTATATGAGAACAGTAATATACCAAAACCCTAATGTTTTATGAGAAAAGAAAGGTGAAAATATATGAAAAAGGGGAAGACAGGTGACAAAAGGGAGACTGCTTTTGAGGAAAAAAGTTAGATGAAAGGGACAAGAGATAGCTTAAAAATGGCAGACATATACGAGATAAAAATATCAATTACTGCCAGCTAAAGATGTATCCACTACCTCAGCCGGCTAGCTAACAACAAAAGCTTAAGACTTTTGTCTCTGGGAAAAAAAAAACTCTTACAGACAACTCACTTACCTAATGCCTGTGTCTTTTATTTGTCCCTTCTCTATTATTATACCCACCTTCATCTCCAATTTGAGAGTCCTAGTTAACAATTCCCATGGAATCCCCATCATCTCCGAGATTCAAAGAGCTTGAGCGAAGAGACCGATAAATCCGAGCAAAGCATCGACTATACACGCGCCGGTAGTCGCTCCTACGAGTGCGTATTTTGCCGTAGAGGGTTCACCACAGCACAAGCCTTAGGAGGGCATATGAACATCCATAGGAAAGATAGAGCCAAGAGCAGGCCTAGTTCAGTTCCCATAATACTTTCAGGAAATGATGACAATCACCCAACACTTAAGTCCTATACTTATCTGCCACATTATTCCATAGCTCCTGAGGTACATGTAACTTACCAAGCTTTTATCCCAGTTTCAGGTTGGGGTTTTAGACCCCCTCCACACACGGCTGAATTCTTTGTAGACAATTCACAACATCCAAATCGGAGTTTAAGCCTGCGAATCGGTCCGTCCAGTGTCGAAGATCATCGGAACAAGAAGGCTGATGGAAGTATTGGAGAAGATGAATTAGACTTGGAGCTTCGATTAGGTCATGATGCATAGTATATATATTATAAAGTACCAATAATGAATTTTCTCTATCTACAGTAGTTGTGGATGTATATTCATTATAAAGGACAGGGAATAAGAAGAAGAATTCCATGCAGAATGAAGAAGAAAAGGAAGGCCCTGCAAGATGGATTCTGTAAGATGTTCTTTTTTATGCGCTCTTCTGCTTTAGACTTAAAATTCTCTGTTACTTCATGTTTTTGTAAAGTTTTGAACTTGAAATATTGGAATTATTCTGTAATTTTCAGCTGTTTTCTTATATTTGTAAAGTTTTTTAATTTACAGGAAACCTAATATGTTTTGAACGAGGGAAAGAATAAAAAAAAACTTGTGTTAGTAGGGTTTGCGATTAGGTTAGACTATATAGTACACTCAAACCCTAATTAATACCTATTAAGCTTGTTTCTGTTTCACTGAATTAAAACCTAGGTTGGCTGGTCCCATCTGGGAACATTCAAACGAAAAACAAACAGTTCCCTAATGTTTCTAAAAATAGGATATCGTTCAATAGAAAAACGTTCGATTATTAATGATGGAGTTACAGGCCGTTAGATCGCCTGATTCTTTTAGTGTTGAGAGGGAAAATAAATGGAGATAGAGAAAAGAGAGTAAGTAGGAGCCAAAAAAACATTCTCTACTCGTAACGGGGTTTACTTATTAACCTTTAGTACCAGTGTGAGGCGTAGGATTATATCAGTAGGTTGGTAGAATATGTAGGTATGTGTTCAACACTTCAGCTATCAATTGATTTTGGGTTTGATAGGTCACATATGTCTGTCTTGGGTTATATATTAAAGGATTGTGGTTTTTTTTAAAGAGTATAGGGTTTTGAGTCCTCTATGTCTTATGTCTTATGTCCGAAAGAGTTGTAGGAAGACCTTGTTGTGAGAAACAGAAGTGAGTTGAAAGGGTACTAATAACACTAAAAAAACTTCGAAGGATAAATTTGAGGTTTAGTCCTATTGTTTCATGCAATCACTTTTAAAATATGTATAATAGATCTTCAAGTGATTAATCTCAATATTCACAGCTCTTTTTATGGAAGATCAGATGAGATGGCCCAAGTTATTCCTACTGGTTTTTCTGCAATGGGTTCCATTGTTCATCAAAGGAAATTATTTGATATAAACACTGATTTTTTACTTTTTTTTCCTTCATTGAATATTAAATGCTTAGGTTCTTAAGTTTTCTGGTTCAATATTTTCAATAACTTTCAAGACTATAATATTTCCATTTCTTCATAAGCATAATTAAGTAATTAATATCAAAATCATTCTTTCTCTTAGATGAAATTCGAAATTCCAACGACTTTGTATCAGATTAAATCACTAGACTGACAAAAAAAAACTAAAACAAATAAAATCATACACTTTTTAATTAAAAATAATATATAAAAATATGTGATTTTTTTCATTTGAAAATCAAATATATAAACCAAAAAACGATGTTTAAATGAATTTTTAAACTTGACTCATTAAGGTTCCAAATTATAAATGTCTATAAAAAATAAATATTTGTTGCACTCCGAAATTAAGAGCCAACTGAAACTCCTCTGATGATATTGTTCCTATTACAAATCAAGAAAGATGTACTCAAATACAAAATAATTTAAATGTTAAACTTATAAAGATCAGTACTACACATTTATTCTATTATATTTAATGAAGTTTATAAATATAAGCATGCAAATCAAATTGAATATCATAATATAAATGTCTTAACTTACTGACTAAATGATAACGTTTTATCAATTGCAAAAGTAAAGAAATTAGTACACCCGAAATCACATCATAATTACATAGTTCTTAATTAACTTTCACAAACGTATTGTAATGGTAGTATCATATTGACACAGCTCAATCTACTAATTCATGGAGTATGTTATACTAACAAATTTGATCATATGGCGAGCCATATTAAGTATTCGGATAATCTTATGTCACTGTTTTCCGTGTATTTCTTTTTAGATCCGCTTTCTCCTACTGCTGGGTAGAATACAATGTATTCTTTTTCTCCCGTTTAGGTTTAGGGAGGTTTTAATTTAATGAGACATTCTACTTGAGCCTTGGTTGTTTAATCTTATCAATAAAAAATTTATTTGCCGAGAAAAAAATACTTCATATTTTATTTATTAACTCGTTTGTAAAAACATATGGTAATTTGAAGAGAAAATATTAAGTTATTCAAATTTGAATTTAAAAACAATCAAGTAAATTAAATGAACTAAGTGATGTTTTACTTTTAACTTTCATGAGTTGTAACTTTCCATCTTCTTACTTATGTTAACTAGATTGAATCATTGAATAATGTTAGAGTACATGAAGCACGGGACAACAAAGAAACTTCGTTTCAAGTATCCGATACTTCCTTGGTATTGGGGTGGCTGGGATACATATATGAGATTCAAATAGTAGAACGAAAACGTAATAGCAACCGTTATTTCGCGGTAGCGCCGTCGTCCGAAATGGATATTGCCCGAAATAGCGGTGTGAACATGGAATCACACCAATAGCGGTCGATAGCGACCACAACTTAACGGGTAACAGTTTATCGTGACGATAACGACCTGCTATGCTTGTTATATTCCGTGACACGAAATTAGTCGAACAAGACAAAAAATAGGGTGATTCGAAATTAAAAAAAAGGAAAAAAGAAAGATAAGAGAACTCACCTTCATCACGAGTAGCCGGGAAGCTTGAGGATCACCGAAATCCAAATTACCAAAAGGTAATTTCTTAGATCTAGGACTTGTTTGGTTTTAGGAAAAATGGGCTTTAGATTTGAGTTTGGGGAAACGAGATGAGTCTTCTGAGACTCTTGGACCATCCCCGACCACCGTGGTCGACCGTCACTGATGTCCATGACTGATGGACTACGCGATTGAGGAGGGCTCTTTTAGAGCATGTGGATTTTCTTTGGCTTTGAGCAAAATAAAGAAATGAAATGTGGGTTTCAAAACCCCAGCGTTTGGGTTATAAATAATAATATGTGCGACGTCGTTTTTAAAGGTAGGGGTTTCATGAATTCGACGCATGGGTAAATTGCTTGATGAGACCCTTTCTATTTGTAAATTTTCCTTTTAGTCATCAAATGAAAATTTCATTTTTTTTGATTCAAGCTTATAATTTTGTTTCAATTTTCGTTTAGTCCCCTAATTGAGACTTTTATGTATTTTAATTTGGTCTCCAATTTTTATACGTGTTGCAATTTAGTCACTTTTTGATCTTCTGATTTGGATATTTTATTTTACACACGTTCATTTTAGTAGATTATAATATGTTGATTTTCGTAAATGAATCATAATGGATAATTTATTTTTATCAAATTTAATTTTTTAGAGTTTTTTCTATGTTGATAGTGTTATTTCTTTAAATAATAATGACTCTTTAAAATTATAACTATAATTATTATATTTTATTATAAGTTGTGTAAATTTTAAAAATATTCACGACCGCGACACTCGCAGTGATCGTGATGACATCCGTTATGTTAGCAACCGCGATAAACGTGACGCGTCAAAAAACGATCCCACGAACACTATTTAAATCCATGATACGTACCTGGGATTTGCCACGATGGCAGGGTACAATTGAACAAGCTTGAGGAAGTTCAAGGGCTTACCAGAGGATGTTTCGGGGACGACATGTGGCAATCACATGCGTCCCCAGGCGGTTGAATCGACCCATAAAGACGATGGATGAGAACCAAAGCTCGCGGATTTCATATTAACGCAGTCCCATGTTAACAACGAGGGTTGGGGTCACAACATGAAAGCTTTTTGACGATGACCGACGACCTACTTACCTTAGACCAATAAGAATGGTAGCGGCGCGACGAATTGTAGACGAGCGCTCGTGAAACAACAAAGGAAGAAGAAAAAAAATAAGGGAGTCGCGATTGAATGTTAAAATAAAGCAAGGGATTTGTGATATAATAAAAATGGTATAATTGTAGAGTTAGTCCTCAAATATTCTAGGGTTTACTAAACATGTTACACGCTTTACAATAATTACAACTTGGTCACAAATTTTATTTTCTAATTTTCTATGAAGTATTGACTTTATTTATGATTTTTATATCTATTTATAATTTAATTTTTTTATATGATGTGTACTTGTCGTCCCCGTACCCTATAATTTTAGGAATTTCCATTTCCCGTCCCCGTATTCGTATCAATGCAACATAAGTTAGGGTTACTTGGAAATAAGTATAGATTGGGGCAAGATCCACTAAAGTTGAAAAACCAAGTTATGAGACGTTGGAGTTGACACTCCGATCACTTTCTGATGCTTATTTGAAATTGAGAATGCTCAAATTTGATGTTTTTATGAGTTTAACCAGACCACTATACTTCTGCTCTCCCTACCTCTCTCAAAGTCGTCTTCAGTCGTTTCGAATAAAATATAATTGAATATTCATAAATATAGTTTATGTCTAATATCGATATCGAAATCGAGACGAGTTGATCAGATTAGAGAAGTGAATCTGCGTATAAACCCAAGTCTAAGGAGTTTTGGGCATTGACCTGGCTTGATGGTATTCTAGTAGGTCTATGTGTGTAGATTTGGTTTAGTTTGGGGCCGGACCACCCTAACAAATTTAGTGTCTACATTGACAAATAGTTATCCTTGTGTTTTGTGATGTTAAATATTTATTTCTAGTTCGAAACCACTCATTTTATGGACTTATATTATAGTGCTATAACACTATACATTGACATGGACAAGTAGCACATGCCCCACAATAATTTAGTTCTCTAAAGCTAAAGAAATCCTTGCAACTAATCCCCATAAATGATTAATTGTTACAGGTCAAAAATTACAAATTCAAAATAAAATATATATTAATATGATCCAAAGTGTTGTAAAACACAGATTGTGCCACTTGCAGTGTTTGCGGGGGGGGGGGGGAGGGTTTAACTCCTATCCTGTCGCCAAACAAAGTCTTTGACGACAAATTCTCGGACCAATTCTTTTCAGACACTGCTTTCTCCTCACAATCATGTCGCATCTCAAAACAGAAAACACCCACCACCCATTTCTTGTCATCTTACGATATTCAGGGA